CGAATGTACTCCATGATCTTGTGCTCGCCCTCGCCCGGGACCTCGTGTCCCGACAGCACGACTTCAACGCCGTGCCAATTGGCGTCCTCTGTGATCTTCTTGTTGACAAAATACCGCAACTGCTCGGAGAGGCGCGCCATAAACGGCGTCCCTGTCACAAGATCAGCACGGAGGTCGCGGAGAGGAGAGGCGACGCACCTGGTGTGATGCAGTTGCTGTCGAATGCCTTCTCCTCAGGCAGCTTCTCCCCCTTGCTCTCTGCCTTCTCGCGCACCTCCTGCACCTCCTTCGCGGTCCTGAACCGCCGACTGCGCTGCTGATTCTGCTTCGCGCGGGGCGCCACTCCGTCGACTGCTAGAAAGAGCAGCTTCTTGGGTTTGATCTTTGCGAACAGATGATCTACATAGGAGAATATTCCTGTGAATATCTGCTCCTCGGACATGCGAAAATGAGCGTCGGCATCGTTGGGATGCGAGCAGTTGTGGATGATGCCGTTGAAGTCGAGATATAGGTTGTCGAACTCCGGTATCTTGTTCTCCTGGATGAGCTGGGAGGTGAGGGGGTAGCGCTCACTAGCATTGTGAGTCTACGGTGAAGGGGTTTAGGTGAAGACTCACGAGATGTAGCGGAAGAACTACAAAGTTCATTAGCGGCGCGCCTTGAACGCGTCCATAGTGTGCTTACCTTGGGGATACCTGGATCGCGGGACGATCAGTGAGCATACAAAGGACAGTCAGTAATCCGCACCCATCGTTCAGCGAGCGTCGTAGAATACAAGGGTAAGAGTTGGTAATGGAGGTCTCGGTCAAGCGTGCGCGGAAAACGATGACGCCGCAAATACTTACCCCGCGCCAAGCGCTGCCAAACAATATTCACGGACTCTTCCTGAGCCTCCGCCACCGCGTCGTGCTCGTGCTCGTGCTCACGCGCCCCGCCGCCATGTCCGTCGTCGTCCAGCGCCCCCTCCGCGGAGCGCGCATCTCCTCCTTCTACCCCGTCAAAAGCCTCCCCGCGCTCGCATCCCTCGACAGCGCGTTCCAGCTCCAGGAATACATCTCGCTCCTCATTCGCCTCGACGTCCACGACGTCGAGCACATCGTCTCCCTCCCAGATAAGAACGCGTCAAAGTCCGGGGATGCGGATATGGAGCGCAGAACGGATGCTAGCGTCGACCAATACTGCTGGATTTACGAACAACTCAGGTGCGCGTGTCGCGTACACTCAATGCCGATCCGTCCTCATGCTGCCTTGCAGACGACTCGCCCAGGACCTCACGCACCCCCTCTGCACGATGCTCCAGCTGGAGTGCAACCGGCAGACATGCCCAGAGATGAAAGCAGGCGAATGGCTCTACCTCTGCGTGGCACATGGCAACGACGGCGCTATGGAACAGTGCTGTGCTATTGACTACATCCTCCACACCATAGACAGCGCCACTGCCCTCCTGAACTCCCCACGCGCATTCCCCTCCAGGCGAGTCACGCCCTCCTCAGCTATGCCTACCCTCACTGACGCGTCTCACAGACTGCAAATCCCTACCAGCTCTCACCGGCACTTCTCCGCTCTGGCACGCCGTCTGGGCCGCATCTTCGCACACGCCTACTTCCACCACCGCGAAGCCTTCGAACAGGCGGAAGCTGAGAGCTCTCTATACGCCCGCTTCCTCGCCCTCACCCAAAAATTCGACCTCGTCCCCACCGAATTCCTCGTCATCCCGCCCCGCATCGACCCCGAGGCCGACGTCCAACCCCCTCGCGTCCTTCCTTCGCAGTCGAACTTTGACCACCAGCAGAACCCGCTCACTCTCGACACGCATGCCGCGGAAGAGCGCGCGCGGAGCCCGCCTGGACTTGGTGGCCAGGAGAGCCCGCGCAAGTTCGGCCGCAACCGGACAGACACGATGGTATTCAGCGAGGCAGCGAGCGTAGTGGAGGAGCTTAGCAAGAGCGATGATATCGAGACAGCAGAGCCAGGACAGACAGTGAGGCTCGAGGAGGCCACGCCAATGGAGACGGAGCCCGAAGCAGCTGAGGATGTTCAGTCTATCGAGTCTGCCCCGGAGGAAACTGCGGCTGAAACAGACACGACTGTCCCCGTCGACACCGCTGCAACGTCAATGGAGGACCCGTTCGCCGATGAGCAGGCCGCAGCTGACGAATCCGCGGAGCCGACAAGTACGGCTGAGGAGGCCATCCCGGTGCCGCCACCCGCGGCCTCAGAGGACGCGCCGACTCCTGCGCCAGAGGACGAGTCGAGTCCTGCGGTAGAGAACGTGCCGACTCCAGCGCCAGCGGACGCGCCGACCCCTGCTCCAGAGGCCGACCCCATCATGCCTGCCGACCCGTCATCGCCGCCTGCTGGCGCAGACGAGGAGATGCCTGCTCACGAGCCGTCTGCTGCTGTAGATGAGAAGCCTTTGGAGTCTGTGGCGACGCCGGCGGAGGAAGAGGAAGCAAAGGAGACTGCCCCGACGCAAGACGAACCTTCGGCCTCTGAGGAAGCTGATGAAGAGGCGACAAAAAAGCCCGAGGAGGCGGCGAAGGAGCCTGAGGAGGTAGAGCAGAGGCCCGAGGAAGCGGCCGAGGAGACCACTGCCGAGCCAGCGTCTGCTGAGTCCCACGCTCCGTCCTATGCAGCGGCCGTAGCGGAGAACATACCTGCAGCGGATATGGAGGAGGCGGAGAAGGAGACCACGGAGGAGACGAAGGAGATCACGGAGGAGACGAAGGAGATCACGGAGGAGACGAAGGAGACGACAGACGTTACGACAGAGACGAAGGAGGGCGAGCATGCTGCCGCAGAGCCCACGAAAGTGAGCGACCACGAGACCTCGCAGGAGGACGAGCATGCTACGAAGGAGAGTGAGCACGTCGCCACGGATATAGCGAAGGAGGCGGAGACGTAGCGGATGCGATGTGGACTGCGCGCTCTTCAGCTTGACGCTATATTGATTCCCTGCATGTTGATCTCTTGTCCACACATACCTTGCGTCGCATGTTTTTGCTATGCGATTTGTTCCCTGCCTTGTTCTAGGCGGTACCTCTCTCGCTCAACCTCGCTCATCTCACTTGTCAGTGGCTCGTCTCTGGTCAGTGTCAGTGCACCCGAAGCTTGGTCGGCCCGAAACAACCGCTTCCATGACGCCGACGGCAGCCCCTAACAGCGTACCAGAACCACTCATCTTTTCGCCATCACTGACTCGCACAGATCTCTGGACTCATGACGGACGTGCCGCTACAGGCGAGTGACGCTCTGGTTGTGAAAGCCGCGTCTTGAACCCGTTCTCTGGCAGAAAGTGATCGTGACCGGGGCTGCCGGGTACATCGGTCAGTGGATTCTCTGGCACGAGCGAACATAAACCTAACTATCTGATACCACTCACTCCCTCCTATCACCCTTCCTCGCATGTAAAGGCTCCCACGTCACCTACGTCCTTCAGAAGACCCGCCGCTACAAAGTCATCTCCGTTGACAATTGCCACAACTCCCACCCGCAGGTCTACCAGCGCCTCGAGCAGATCGCGCGTGACGAGCTGCCCCCCAACCCAAGCGCGCAGGACTTGGACTCCACTAAGATTGAATATCATAATGTGGATCTAACGGATGCTCCCGCCGTGCGCGCCGTATTTGAGAAGTACGGCAAAGGTGGGATATGGGGCGTCATACACATCGCTGTATGTTTTATTTCCCCAACCTCCTTCTCCCTTCTCCCCCTTCCGTGACGTGATCACTAATGCTCATTTCATCCCCTCACTCACCGCTTACCCTCATCTATAGGCCTGGAAAGCTGTTGGGGAATCCACGCAAATTCCCCTCACCTACTACCACAACAACGTGTCCAGCACCATCAGCCTCCTCCAGCTCATGGACGAATTTGACTGCACGCGCATCGTCTACTCGTCATCCGCCACCGTCTACGGCGTGCCACCGGATATCCCCATACCCGAGACTACACGCCTGCAGGCGCTCAGCCCGTACGGAAACACTAAGATTATGTGCGAGACGATCATCAAGGACTTGTGCGCAGCGGACCCGAAGCGGTGGCGTGGGCTGTCGTTGAGGTACTTCAAGTAAGCTGTCGTCTGGCGGTGTGGTTGTCTGTGCTGAGATGACAATCAGCCCTGGTGGCGCGCATCCTTCTGGCTTGATAGGCGAGGACCCAGTAGGAAAGCCAAATAACCTATTGCCTATCCTCGCGCAGATGGCTGTAGGCCGCATCGAGCCCACGCTTCATGTATATGGGAACGACTACCCAGGGACTCCGTGAGCGCCTACGCCTACTCCGTAAATCTATCTACTGATCACTTTGCGTCTTGCAACGAAGGGACGGCACCTGCGTCCGCGACTACCTCCACGTCGTCGACCTCGCCGGAGGCCACCGACTCGCCCTTGATGCCCTTTCCAATGACTCCAAGATCTTTCCCCCAGGTACCTCCTCTTTCTACAAAGTATACAACCTCGGCCGCGGACAGGGTGTCAGCGTCCTGCAGATGGTTGAGGCGATGCGCAAGGCAACAGGATGTGACTACAAGACCGAGATCGTCGGCCCGAGGTGAGCTTTTGATGGTCAGCGACGGCAGCGCAAGCTGAATATCACCCAGGAAAGGCGACGTGCCAGACCTCACCGCGGACCCTGCGCTCGCGGAGAAGGAGCTGGGCTTCAAGGCCTCGCAGTCACTCGAGGCTATGTGCCGCGACCTGTGGAATTGGCAGAGCAAGAATGCAAATGGGTACATGAAGTGAAGATATGCACAAAGTTGACTCGCCCTCCTGAACGGCGCCACTCCATGCTGCAGCGCTCGCTCTAAGTACTCGTACTGTCCACGTGAAATAAATTATAAACGCTTGAAGTGGGCTGTCAATCAAGCTCCCGCACGGGGCAGTACAGTATGTCGGTGTTCTTCAAGATAATACGGACAAACACTTCGAACTCTCTGATCTTCGGCGTCTTCGCTGACCATTTCTGCTTGCTTTGCGATGCAAAAAACAGCAAACAAAAGATGTCGGTAGCAGGAATCGAACTTGCGGCTCCTCGGAAGCGAATTTAAGCCACAACGAGGTGATTTAACCCCTAATCGATACCGACTTCAATGTAATTCACGAGTGGCAGGGTGACTTTGTTGGCAGTAAAAAAATGTCTAAAAAAGTGTCTAAAACATGCCCTAAAACAGGTATTTTCTGCAGGCAGAAACACGTCCATTTTGGCGATGAAAAGATGTATAAGAGCCACATGTTTCTGGCTGCAAAAAGGGCTTGTTTAATTGTTCAGAAAAGTCTCTTTTTTGCAGCCTAAAGCCGAGTTTTTTTGGAGTGTTTTGTTGCTGTTGTAAACAATGTTTTTTTACCACCAAAAACATGCCTGTGTAAGAACCTATTGATTTTACTATCAAAAACACGACCTGGAGTCTTTTTGGCAGCAAAAAAAATCATTTCTTGCCCAAAAAGCCCTCCAAAAACGGTCGGCTTTAGGTTGCAAGAAAGAGACTTTTCTGAACAATAAAACAAGCCCTTTTTGCAGCCAGAAACATGTGGCTTTTGTACATCTTTTCATCGCCAAAAAGGACGTGTTTCTGCCTGCAGAAAATACCTGTTTTAGGGCATGTTTTTAGACACTTTTTTAGACATTTTTTTACCGCCAAAAAAGTCGCCCTGCCACTCGTGTAAGCAGCTCGCTATAGTTTATAATTGACAATGTATCATTGTAAATATAGAGCTAGCATGAGTCACTACATACCTCTCTGTTGGAAGCAGTGAGTTCTCTCTGCACTACAAGAGAGATACAATAATCTCCGGTCTTTACTAGACCGTATTTGCACCAGGTTATATCGACTTCTGCATCTGAATTTCGGCCCCGCTCCTAATGAAGTGCCCAATACACATCTAAGACACACAATGAAATATAAAACCGTCGAAGTAAATAATCGCCACAGGTCCGAAGTAAGCGACGCGCTGTTGTGCAGCTGACGAGGGCTATAGACAAGCTATACACAGCAGCCTTTCACACGAAGAAGGATGTACATGGCCTGCATCGTCCTAGCGGACTTTTGAAGGCCAAGAGTCGTTTGCATCGCACCGGAAGCAGGCAAGGAGTGAGCCCGACATCGCCTGATTCATCCAGATATATCGGCTGCAGCACGTTCTGTATTCAACGCTGTCCACAAATCATCAACAGCCGAATTTTGAGTATTTCTGAGCGCTTCTTGAGTTCAATACAAACCCAATATAACCCGGTGCAAATACGCCCTACTGCATGCTTATTGTGATAAAATTATATAAAGACTTGGAACAAAGCCGATAAGGTTATTGAGTGGCATAAAGGATCCTCAGCCAATCAGGACTGCCAGAGTTCTCTATACTTCTCAATAACTAATATGACCTTATTGTGGGCTTAGACATGATAAGCTCTCGATAATCATGCAGTAATCTCTGAAGGTTATTGAATATCTCTTGTAGTGCTGCCTTCGGGAGTCTACAGATGCAGAAAACTCATTGAAACGTGCACTCTGTGCACAACTTGAACTGTACATAGATTTCACGAACCTCATGTAGGACATTTGTTCCCTTTGTGGCAATCCGCTTCTTCTACACAACGTACTTACACATCCCGGGGCCGTGAAGTCCATCCTTTAGAACGTAGATCATGACCATCTCTTCCACACGGATGCGTCCAGGACAGAGCGTCGGCTGGGCAAAGACACAGGCTCATTGTGGTACACGGTGTGCCGTCACCAACCCAGCTGCTCTGCTTCCGGGTCGACTCTCTTACAGTGGGAACAGACGGAGACGCGCCGCAGGAATCTATATGACTGCCCAGGCGCACACGTCTTCCAACAACACGACTAATGACGAAGTCTACATAGTGTGTACAATATCTCGCGAAATCTTCTCGCGACTAGTCCCAGAAATTACCAAGGAGAAACATCGGGTGCCTACAGCCACTCAACCGTCTGCCATATTACTTAGCTGACGCTTGACGACAGAAACAAGAGACTCACCGCTGGAGGCTTTGACGAGATATCGTAGGTGACACGATTTATTCCGGAGACCTCGTTCGTTATCCGCGAGGATATCCGGCGGAGAACGTCGGCCGGGAACACATACCTGGGAATGTATCAGTTCATGGCCTCTCCAAGCAAAGAACATGGCATGGCCTACCAATCCGCCGTCATGAAATCCTCCGACTGCACCGCACGCAATGCGATGACCTGCTCGTACGTCCTTGCGTCGCCCATGACGCCGACGGCTTTCACCGGAAGCAACACGGCGAACGCTTGCGCGATCTGGTCGTAAAGGTTGGCTTTGCGGATTTCCTCGATGTAGATGCTATCCGCGTGCTGCAGGATCTTGACCTGCTCTCGGGTGACTGGCCCGAGAATGCGAATCGCGAGGCCCGGGCCAGGGAAGGGGTGGCGCTGGACGAGGGGTGCCGGGATCGAGAGCAATCGGCCCAGCGCGCGCACCTCGTCTGTCGGGTTGGTCAGCAATAGGACCCTTTCGCGCACACGGCAAAACCTACCCTTGAACAGCTCGCGCAGCGGCTCGATGAGCTTCAACTTCATGTCCTTCAGCAGCCCGCCCACGTTGTGGTGCGTCTTAATGGTCGCGCTCGGACCCTTAAAGCTGATGCTCTCAATGACGTCCGGGTAAAGCGTGCCCTGGAGCAGCCACTCGATACGGCCCTTGGCGTCGGCGCCCTTCTTTTCGTCCTCCGCCGCCGCCGCCTCGATTTTTGCGGCCTCATCCTCGAATACGTTGATGAACGTGTTGCCGATGATCTTGCGCTTCTGCTCAGGATCCTCTACACCCTCAAGACGCGAGAGAAAGAGATCGGAGGCGTCAACGACGGTGAGGTTGACCCCAAGATCTCGGTTGAGCATCTCGTGCACCTGTTTCGCCTCGTTGAGACGCAAGACTCCATTATCGACCATAATCGCATGGAACCTTTCGAATAAGTGAGTACGACACCTACCCATTAGCCGACATACAGCACAAACCTGTCGCCAATCGCTTCGTGCATGAGCTTCGCAGCGACCGTGCTGTCCACGCCGCCGCTGACCGCGCCGATGACACGCCCGGTAGGGCCACAAATTGAACGGATCCGATTGATCTCCTTGCCGATGAACTCCTCCTGCAAGCGTGTCAGTCATATGTCCAGGAAATCTGTACATCAACATACTAACCATCGTCCAGTGCGCGCGGCAGCCGCAAATGTTCTTGATGAAGCGCCCAATGACCTCCCGGCCGCGCGGCGAATGCGTAACCTCGGGATGGAACTGGATGCCGTAAATTGGCCTGCTGTTATGCGCGAGCGCCGCGTAGGGGGCGGTGTTTGTCTCGCCGATTACATGGAAGTCGGGGGGCGGCGCCGAAAGTTGATCACCGTGCGACATCCACACCTGCAAGGGTGCTCACGTCAATACGAGGGTCAACGGAGTGGCACAAGTTGATAGACACCTGGAGATCGTCGCCGAGTCCTTCGAAAAGGGTGTCTACAGCAGAGTTTGTCCCTATTTTCTTGATGTTGACCGATGCGAAGCCGTATTCGCGATGGTCGCATTTGGAGACCTTGCCCCCCATCTGCCAGGCAATTTCCTGCGGCGTTTCCTTGAGAGACGGCCATATAAATGACCGCAGATACTCACCTGGAGTCCATAGCATATGCCCAAGATCGGTACGCCCAGCTCGTAAATCTCGGGGTCTGCATGTGGCGAATCCTTGTCGTACACGGAATAGGGCGAGCCGGAGAGGATGATGCCTTGACGTGGATCAGAACAGCAGCACCCAGGCAGATACCATTCGGAATACCCTTGGGCTTGAACTTGACGTCCTTGAGCTTCGTGGTGCAGGGCAGGAGCTCAGCATACACGTTATGCTCGCGGCATCGTCGCGTTATCAGGTGACTGTACTGCGTTTCACTCAGCCCTTTGTGATACACGCTTCGCAGATATACGCACCTGGGAGCCAAAGTCGAGGATCAGAATGGTGTCGAACTGGTCGTGAACTTCAGCCATTGTTCTCTCGACGGACTCGAACAATGGGTGTAGGGATCAAAGGTGGATCAAAAGGCGCGCTGATCGATCGACGCGCGGGAGTCACGCCGCGCTCGCGATCCACGTGGCATTGTTCTCTTCCGCACTGACAGTGACTGTCTTCAGTCCTCCTGCTGTGGCGCAGCCGCTATCGACATGCTCGTGCTGTGCTATTCGAAGGTGAGTCATTGTGACTGATATTAACTGGCTATTCGCTTCTTCCGCTGGCTACGGAAACGTCTTGGCGGCAGCCTCTGTTGTTCCATAGCCAACGCTCGTTCAAAACAGACCCGATACTAGCGCCCACCTAGCCACCGTGTCTCTCGATGCTCCTAGCGCCTAACGCTACTTACAAGACCCTGATGCGCGACGCCGGCAAACCTCGAGCACGCGCAGCTCCCGCGGGTCGCATCACGACCGCCTCCGCGTCAACAAGCGCGTCTCTCTCCTCGGCCAAATTCTGTGACTATTCTCCGATCTCGAGACGGTTACACGCTCGCGTCGGACGCCTCGTCGCTCGCATGATACACAAACTAGCTAACGCATAGAGCTTGCAACGTGATCGTTGCGTCGACTGCGATGGGCGCGTTGAATACAGATGGCGGGCGCCTGATTCGTGTATTCTGCCACCAGTCGACAATGGACCTGCTCGCCGTCAGTTCGCCGGCGGCGGACGCGCCTCCCACCTGTGCTGCCTCTGCGTCCCAGGATCAACGCACGCAACACCACCTTGCGTGACCGGTCACTGATGGTTCAATATCTGCCCTCTGGCATGGTCCCTTATGCCCATCTTGAGGGCGCTACGTATCTGGTCCCATGCCCATCGCAAGCGTGTCTAATCCCAGGCCTATCAGGCCACCTATCTGTAGAAGCACGGTCGCCCAACTCCAAGCGCCGAATCTTGCCCGAATCGCTTGCGCAGGAGGCCCCTCGAAAAATGACCCTGAAGCACCTCCCATCGCCTGCATTTGCGGTCTTCCTGGCTGTTGCCCAATACAGGCTCTTCTTCCAGGCTGGCGCCTACACGCGCGTGTGCGAGGGGTCCTCCTTCGCGAAG